GGTAGTCCCGTGTTTGTGTCTCGACTTGGATTGAATAATGGAGTCGCCACCGATCTCTTTTGAATTAGGTGGATCGGGTACCTTGAACTTACTATTTACTAGGTCTACGTCTTACCAGTGATTTGTCGAGTTCAGAAGTTGATTATAATCAAGGAAGGACGAGTACCCTCGAATTGTCCTTTCGGTACCATTTGAAAACCAGTTGTCTTAATTCATGAAAATTGAAGTTTAGGCTAAAATTTAAAACAATTGTCCTTATTAATTACCTTTTGAGAGTTTAGTACTGAAAGATTAAATAAATTAGTGATTTAAATTAAGATTAGGTCTAATCTTTAAACAAAAATTCTTCTTTTATTGCTCTTATTTTCGATATTCTTACAATAATTTTCCCTGACTCCTCATTTTTTCTATCTTCTCTCCATCTTCTCCTTTTTACTTTCTTTTTATTTGTTTTTCTGTGTGTCCAAAAAAAGATGGAGAAGACATCTATTTATAGTTGAGCCTCCAAACATCCAATAGTATAGATTATTTACGTTGACGACTAAGATGTGTCTAAATCAAGAGCTTCTCATCTAAGGAAATAACATCTAATATTATCTAATTACATCAATTAGCCTATTCTTTTACATTGTTAGGAGATCACACTGAATATGGCAAGATTCCTCATGGATATTCTCTGATATGATGACAATTTCCTTTTTCACCATAGTTAAAGTGAACAGGTTCTCTTACATTCAGATAAGTTTGGAGCCTAGACAAATTTTGGGTATTATAGTTGCCTCTATTTGCTCATTAGGGTGTAACGGGAATAGAGCAAAGATAAAAAAATGACCAATATTTGTTCGATTAATGTAGCTTCGTTCCTTGGTGTTATCACTTTCTTTTAACCTTTGATTGATATGCTATTCCACTTGTTTTTTGCTGTAACATCCTAAATTTATTTTCTTTTAATTTGACTTTATTGAATTAATTTTGGGTATTAAATTGTGAACTTTCAAAGTTTTGGGACAACTTTAGGATTCCTAAAGGTTATGGGACTCGTTCCCTAATTTAACCATCGTTGGCCTGTAGAGAAACAAATATGGAGAAAGGTGAGATTTGTTTTTCAAATGTGTGGTTGGGGGAAATTGAACCCTTGACCTAAAGTATGGAAGTCCATGCCTCCACCATCAAATCTAGGCCATTGTTCATGTCAAGATTAGCATGAAATATTTTTAAGATTTATAAATTGGAATTTTAATTTCCCAAAACAAATCCCCAATAAAAATCGAGCCTTTCCCAACATGAATCCCTAAAATTATCAAACCCTCTCATCGTCCGTTCCACCGCTCATTGTTGCTGCCTCTGTCGTCCATGACCAACACCGCCCTTATCGTTAGGACCGCCGTGATCTCGCGACCAAAACCCCTCTACTACCCCATCGTAAACTGCCGTTGTTCGTCATAAATTGAAGTTCAAAGAGTTCGTCAAAATCATCATCTACTTCAATTTCTCATGATTTTGTGCCGATTTCAAACTCTATTGGTCTCACAGCCATCGCCGTTAGACTTCTCATCTCTTTTCGAGTAAACTCCATTCGGATATGTCACTTCATCATCGTTCGTTCACCATCTTTCATTGGGTAAGCATTCAATCACTTTTTTTGGTTATTTCTTGTAGTCTTAGTTGATTGATTGACTGGTAATGGTGTTAAAACTAGGATTTAAGGCTCAAGCAGTAATCGACCATCGTCCCTATCAAATTTTCCCATTCCACACGTCGTCAGTGTGTAAGGGGAAACTCTTTCAGCCTAAACCTTCTAGAACAAGTATAGTTAGACTGAACGGTATCAAACCGGTTTACCTTAGATCGAATCGGTATGTTTTTGGACCGAGCCAACTCATGTTGAGTCAAATCACACTAATCTGAACGGTTGACTTTGACCTGGGTTGACTTTGACTTTCACCAACATTAACTTTGACTTTGACCAAAAGTTAAATTTTTTTAAAAGTCATATTTTATGTTTTCGAAGTCCTGAGTCCGAATCCGAAGTCTATTTTGCCAAATTCTAACCCGAAGTCCTTCAAATCGAGCGTTGAATCCTGAAAATGCATAAGTATTCAATTTTTTTATTCAAGAGCATTTAAATTAAAGTCAAGGACTGATTTATGTTATTAATTATTGAAGGTACTTGAGACTTGGTTGATCATTCGTCAGCTCGACCTAGCTCCTCTCCATCCGTTCAGCCTCGTGAGCCCATGATTCTTCGTATAATTTCGTAAAACCTATAAATAATGAAATTTAAATATTCTTTCAAGAGTAACATGAATTCATTATGGTTTAGGTTTGAGCACTATTGTAGAGCATACGAGGATAGTGCTCAGTAGACTTTTCAGTTTGATTTCGTTTTGCGAGTTGTGTCCCTTCTGTGCTGTATGACTCTTTTGCATGTTTTATAATATAATTCATTTATTTGTTCTAAAAGACGATTGTTTATCTGATTTGATTTATGAATATTTTATCTGATCAATTTCTTGATTATTGATTTACTAATTACATTGTGTTGTCTGATACATGTTCTCCAATTATTTGTTTTGCTAAGAAAATTAATTATAACTATTTTATGGAATTTTGGAGTTTATGTATATTGCCTTAACTGTTTATTGATGTATTGTCTGGGTAGGTGTCTGGAGTCTGAGGTTCAGCTAGTTGGTAATTCCTTTATGTTCTGTTATAGGGAATTGTATTTTTGGTGTATGGGTAGAGGGTAGTTATTTGTTCTAAATAAACACACTAATACTTTTATAGTACTTTACTGAACTATTCTTTCAAACTCTTCAGTGTGTTTTATATTGCACTTATTAGAACACATTGAGCTTCCTATATCACTCCCCAACTTTTCATCTTTCAGATACTTTTCAATAGGCATTCTCGGATCTGACACTTGGAGCATTGACACATTTTGTACCATATTTTGTTGTAATGTTTCCATATTCTAAACTGCTTTTATTTTGGTGACATGTGCCTATAAATTGATATTATGGTTTTAGGGCATATTATGTTTACTCTTAATGTATGTATTTATACAATATTTGATATTCAATACTTATGGCTTTATGTTTTAAATTTCTAGAATTGATTTCGATAGTATTCTTTTGGATCTATAAATGTTTTGAAAATTTAGGCAACCTTTTGAAAATGTTTTAGAAATTCGTAATGTGATTCGCTAGACCTAGTCGTAACGTATAGGTTGGTTCTAGGGGGTTACATTTGGTTGGTATCATAGCTTTTGGTTTTAAAACCTCGGACTGTGAATGGGTCCAAACTAAAAATACGATTTTGAAATATTTTACAAAATCAATTAAAAGGCCATGTCAACAAGTTTTATAAGTTTAATTGTGCACGGTGCTCTGAGTGCCTAACTTAATCTTAAGTTCTTACCTTTGTGTAGTTAGCTCGTGATTTGTCACCATGAGCGCTAGGAAATGACGTTGATTTTCTCGTTCTCGAAGTCGACCAGTTAGATTCTCTAATTTAACTGAGTACCTTTTATTGCTAGTAGATCCTCCCGCCCCTGTTGGCCCTTCAGTTTCGAGGGAATCGTAGCATGCTCCTGGTATTGATGTGACGACACTTACAAGAGCACCTGTTGTTGAGATTGAGTCTACTAGAGTTATTTTGGATGAGATGTTGGGCAAACGATTTATACAGTTGAGCCAGAGTGCAGTTAGAGCAGCGAGTACCACACCTAGAGTTTTCATCACTCAGACATTAATTTCTAATGGGGTTTAAACGTTTAGTGGCTCGATTAGAGGAGCTCTTAAAAAGGTTGATTATTGGCTCTATGATACTATGAGACGTATGGATTAGTTAGGTTTAGATCCACAAAAAAGATATTTTAGAGTTGTTTCAATACTAGATGAAAATTCCCATACCTGGTGGGAGTCTATAATGAGTAGTGTTCCTGCTGACCGTTTGACTTGGGATTTCTTCAAGAAGTGTTTCAAGAACCGTTTCCTTGGAGAGAATTATTTGGTCGAGAGACGATAGCATTTTCAAGATCTAGTACAAGGAGATATGACAGTCTCCGAGTATGAGATGGAGTTCTTAAAGCTACTAAAGTATGGAATTAGTACGATTCTTACTAAGAGGGATAGGTGTCATAATTGTTCTTAAGGACTCAAATATTAGAAGAGTAGGCAGGTGGTGACTCATCAGGATGAGGTGTTTGATGTTTTGGTGGGTAGAGCTAAATATATTGAGGAGATTGAGGTCATGGTCCCTGTTAGAGACTGAGTAGATCGATAGCGATCTAGGAGGTTGTATGGCCTGACCAAGCCTTTTATGCATCCAGAGAAGAGGACTCATATTGTTGCTCCCCAAGGAGTAATACTAGTTCTAGGCCCACAACTTATCCACCCTCAACTATTAGTCGATGTGATTTTCAGGTCTTCCTCATGTCCCTATTTATGGGTATTATGGAAATCGACATAAGGGAGAATGTCGTAAGAAGATGGGTACTTGTTATCGATGTGAATCTAGTGAGCATTTCCTTAGACATTTTCTGCATCTAGCCTCTTCTAAGCGAGCATTCACCCAGACCCTACACACTCACAAGATTTTTTTGTACTTCAGTAAGCAGTCGTAGCCAGGGGAGAGCTTCTGGATCTGCTTCTAGGAATGACACTAGAGTTTAATCATAATATAGTATAGAGTTAGTTGTATCTGAGGCTAGGCAGCCAACTCTAGTGTATACTACCAGACGTCAATATGATAAATATGAGCCAGAGGTTATCTCATGTACTTTCACTATTTATTCTGTTTCATACTTTGCATTGCTAGACAATGACTCCACTCACTCTTATGTTTCGAGTTTTGTATCCCGATACATTCAGATTCTAATTGAGGAAACCGAAAGTGAAGTTACTATTATGAGCCTAGTGGAACAATCAGTTGTCCTGAATAAAATATTTTTTTATTGTCCTTTAGAGGTCCAGGGTGAAATCTTTCTGACAGATCTTATGGTACTTCATTTGGAGAAGTTTAATTTGATTCTGGGGATGGACTGGTTTAATGAACATCAAGTCAACCTAGATTGTGAGTACAAGAGGGCTACTCTAAAGACTTCTGATGGTCAGACTGTGAGTGAGCGTCGAAGTTACCTCTCCAATATAGTTTCAGCCTTAGTTGCAGACCGGATAATTCACAAGGGTTATGACAACTTCATTTCTTGTATCTTGAATACTAGAGTCTCATTATCCAAGATTGAGGAAATCCATATAGTGAGCAAGTTTCCTGAGGTATTTTATGAGGAGTTGCCAAGGTTACCTCCATATAGGGATGTAGAGTTTGAGATTGAGACTTTTTCGGGTTCTGCCCATGTTTCTATGGCACCATATCATATGGCTCTGAAGGAACATTAGGAGCTGAAGGTTCAGCTGAAAGAGTTACTTGATCGATGTTTTATGAGGCACAATACTTCATCGTGGGGAGCTCAGATTCTATTTGTGAAAAATAAGGATGGCTCACTCAGACTGTGTAATGACTACAAAAAATTAAACAAGCTGACAATTAAGAACAAATATCCCTTACGCAGGATTGATGATTTACTTGATCAGCTTTGGGGAGTCACTGTATTCTCAAATATTGATCTTCAATATGGGTATTATCAATTAAAGGTGAAGGATACTAATGTTGTGAAAACTGTTATTCGTACTCAATATGGGCATTAAGAGTTTATAGTGATTCCATTTGGGTTGACCAATGCTTCAACAACTTTCATGGATCTGATGAACCGTGTGTTCAAAGCATTTTTAGACAAGTTTGTGGCAGTATTCGTTGATGATATTCTAGTTTATTCCCAGACTGAGGTAGAACATGATGAGCACCTAAGGATTATTTTACAGACTCTAAAGGAGAATCATTTGTATGCCAAGTTGAGAAAATGTGAATTTTGGCTTCGTGAGGTGACTTTTTAGGGCATATTATGTCTTATAGTGGTATTCAGGTTGATCCGAGCAAGATTGAGGCCATCATGAGTTGAAAGCAACCCAAAAATGTCTATAAGGTCTGCAGTTTCTTAGGTTTAGTTGGGTACTATAGGAACTTTATTGAGGGTTTCTCCATCATTGCTGACCCTTTGGTGAAGCTACTCAGGATTAATGTTCCTTTATTTTGGGTGATGCTTAGTAGGAGAGCTTTGAGAAATTGAAGACAACTTTGACTCAGACGCCAGTTCTGATTCAACCTGAGCCAGGGAAAGATTTACAATCTATAGTGATGTTTTACGCTCTGGACTAGGTTGTGTTCTGATGCAAGAGTGAAGGGTAGTCTCTTATGCATCCCGTCAGCTGAGGTCGTATAAGTGTAATTACCCGAACCATTATTTGGAGTTAGCATATGTAGTTTTTTCCTTGAAGATCTGGAGACACTATCTCTATGGAGAGAAATGTTATATCTTTATACTGATCACAAGAGTTTGAAGTATCTTTTTACACAAAGTAAACTTAATCTGAGCCAGTGATGTTGTCTCAAACTTGTCAAGGATTATGACTATGAGATTGATTACCACCCGAGTAAATCTATCGTGGTAGCTGATGTATTGAGTCGTAAGGTGATATCTGATTTGATGTCATTATTTGCCATGATAAAATTGTATGATGATGGCATTCTGTTAGTTGAGTTATAGGTTAAGCCTACCTTAGCCAAGGAGATCAAGGCCAAGAAGATGTGAGACATCTCTTTACTTTCCATTATTGAGAAAGTTAAGCAGTGATCTACCTCAAATTTTGTTTTTGACCTTGATAGAGTTTTATACTTTAAGGGTCGATATTGTGTGTCTGAGGATACAACGTTGAGACATTCTATCCTTCGTGAGTCTCATAACAGTCCGTATGTTATGCACCTAGGTGGAGATAAGATGTACCGTAACCTAAGAGAGAGATATTGTTGGGATGGAATGAATAACTGATTATGTGGCTAGGTGCCTGACTTGTCAACAGGTCAAGTAGAGCACCAATTTCCGTCTGGTTTACTGTAGCCTATCAAGATTGCCGAGTGGAAGTGGGAGCATATCACAATGGATTTTGTTACTAGTTTTCCTCTGGCTCATTCAAAAAAGGATTATGTTTGGGTGATAGTTGATAGACTCACCACGTTAGTTTATTTTATTATCGTTCGAGTTAATTATTCTTTGGACAAGATGGCTAGGTTGTATATCACAAAGATTTTTAAACTACACGGGGTTCTTGTATCTATCATTTTTTACCGAGTTCTGAGATTTACATCAAGGTTATGGAAGGCTCTATACGAGGCTATGGGTACTCGTCAAAATTTTAGTACTTTCCATCCGCAGACTGATGGTCACTCTGAAAGGTTGATATAGGTCTTGGAGGACATGTTACATAGCTGCGTGATATATTTCCATGGTAGTTGGGAGGATTTCTTTCCTTTAGCCGAGTTTACTTATAATAACAGTTATCAGGCTAGTATCTGTGTGGCACCATACGAGACTTTGTATGGGTGTAGATGTCGCACTCCTATTTATTGGACAGAGCTGCGTGATAGAAACACTTTGGGACTAGAGTTGGTCTGTGGGACTAATGATAATTTCAGATTGATCCATGATCACTTAAGAGGATTTTTACAGTCAAAAGTCTTATGCTAATAAGAGGAGGAAAGATATTGAATTTCAGGTTGGGGATTAGATTTTTCTGAAAGTATCTCCATGGAAGAAAATGTTGAGGTTTGGACATAAGGGTAAGTTGAGTCTGAAATTTATTGGACTGTATTGTATTCTGAAAAGATTCATATGTTTCTTATTAGTTTGAGTTACCTCCATAGCTTAGTTGTATTCATGACATATTCCATGTGTCCATGTTGAGGCTTTACTGTCCAGATCTGAGTCATATTATACGGGTTGAGGATGTTAACTTGAGGCCAAATCTATTGTATGATGAGGAGCCTATTTAGATTTTGTATCAAGATGAGAGAGTCCTCAGGAACAGATATATCCCGATGGTGAAAGTTTAGTGGAGTAAATGTGGTCCTTCAGAAGCTACCTGGAAGACATAGGAGTCAATGAAGAACCATTTTCCGCAAATCTTTACTGTAGGTAAATTTTAAGGAAGAAATTTCTTTAGGGGGTTGTAACACCACATATTTATTTACTTTTAATTTGACTTTATTTAATTAATTTTTGGGATAAAATTGTGATTTTTTAAAGTTTTAGGACAACTTTACGATTTCTTAAAAGTTTTGGGATTGGTTCCCTAATTTGGCCATCGTTGGTCTGTAGAGGAAAAATGAAAAAATGTGAGATTTTTTTCAAATGTGTGGATGGGGGAATTGAACCCTTGACCTAAAGCATGGAAGCATATGCCCTACTATCCGAACTAGGCCACTATTCATGTCAGGATTAGCTTAAAATATTTTTAAGCTTTATAGATTGGGATTTTAAATCCCAAATAAAAATTGAGCCTTTCTTAACTTGAATCCTTAAAATTATCAAACCCTCTCATCGTCTGTTCCACCGCCCATCACTGCTTCCTCTATCTTCCATGACCGACACTGTCGTAACCATTAGGATCGCCATGACCTCGCGACCAAAAACCCTCTATTACCCCATCGTAAACTACCATCGTTCGCTGTAAATCGGCATTCAAATTGTTTGTCAAAATAGCAAACCACTACGGTTTTTCACGATTTTATACTGATTTTGAGCTCTGTTGGTCTCACCGACACCATTATTAGATTTACCGTTCCTTTTCAAGTAAAACCCACCCGGATCTGTCGCTTCATTGTCGTCTGTTTGCCTTCATCGTTAGTTAAGCATTCGATCACTTTTTTGGTTATTTCTCGTAGTTTTGGTTGATTGTTTGGCTGGTAATGGTATAAAAATGAGGATTGAAAGCTCGAGGAGTAATCGATCTTTGTCCCCATCAAATTTTCCCTTTGCACGTGCTACCATGCACCACCGGTGCGCATAGGGCAACTCTTTCAGCCCAAGCCTTCTAGAATTTATCTAATTAGACCAGACAAGATTAAACCGCTTTACCTTAGACTGAACCGATCTATTTTGGGAATGATTCAACTCATGCTGAGTCAACTCATACAGGTCTAACCCGTTGACTTTGACCAGCATTAACTTTGACTTTGACCAAAAAGTCAAAATTTCCAAAAAAGTCATATTGTTTTTACCATGAGTCTGAATCTGAAGTCTGTTTTTCCCAATTCTAACCCAAAAGCCCTCAAATGGAGCAATGAATCCCGAAAAAAACACATGTATTCAATTATTTTATTCAAGTGCTTTTATATTAAAGTCAATGACTAATTTATGTTATTAATTATTGAAGGTACTCGAGACTCGCCCAATCGCTTGTCAGCTCGACCCGGCTCCTCCCGATTCGTTCCGCCTCGTAAGCCCGTGATTACTCGTATAATTTTGTAAATCCTATAAATAGAGAAATTTAAATATATCTTCAAGAGTAACCTGAATTCATTATGGTTTAGGTTCGAACACTGATGTAGAGCGTAGTGAGGTCGATGCTCAGTAGACTTTCCGTTATGATTCCGTTTTGCAAGGTGTGTTCCTTGTGTGATATATGACTCTTTTACCTTTTTTTATAATATAACTGATTTATCTGTTTTGAAATACTATTGTTTATCTTATATGATTTATTAATATTTAATCTGATCAATATCATGATTCTTGATTTACCAATTACATTGTGTTGTCTGATACATGCTCTCTGATGATCTATTTTACTAAGAAAATTAATTATAATTGTTTTGTGGAATTCTGGAGTTTCTTTATACTGCCTGAACTGTTTATTGGGGTATTGTCTAGGTAGGTGTTTGGAGTTCTGAGGTTTAGTTAGCTGGTAATTCCTTTTTGTTCTCTTATGTTGAATTACATTTTTGGTGTACGGGTGATGGGTAGTTATATGTTCGAAATAAACACACTAATATTTTTTATAGTACTTTACTGAACTATTCTTTTGAACACTTTAGAGTGTTTTATATTACACTTATTGGAACACACTGAGCTTCCTAGATCACTTCATAACTTTTCCCTTTTCATATACTTTTCCATAGGCATTCCCATATCTGACACTTGGAGGATCGACACATTTTGTACTGTATTTTTTGTAATGTTTTCATCTTCGAAATTGCCTTTATTTTGGTGATATGTGCCAATATATTGATATTCAGGTTTTAGGGCATCTTATGTTTATTCCTAATGTATGGGTTTATACGATATTTAATATTCAATACTTATGAATTTATGTTTTAAATTTCTGAAATTGATTTTGATAGTATTATTTTGGATCTATAAATGTTTTGGAAATTTAAGCTATCTTTTTGAAAATGTTTTAGAAATTTGTAATGTGATTCACTAAACCTAATCATAACGTATAGGCTG